TGATCTATAGGTCTGTGGAAGGTGCTATAGGAATAAAGTTTTACTTAGATTGTGAAGGGGGTGCATCCTAAGACTGAGCCTTGTGGTACACCATTGTTGACTGTTAAATAACTGGAGGAAGTACCATTATGTTGAACACATTGCCTCCGGTCTGAAAGATAGTTAGAGAACCAACCAATGGTGTGTTCTGAGAAACCGATTTCTGAGAGTTTATGACACAAGATGTTCTGATCCACAGTGTCAGAATCTTTAGACAGGTCTAAGAAAAGTGCAGCACAATAATCCTTAGCATCCAGTGCTTCAATAACATCATTAAGAACCTTCAGTGAAGCAGTGGTTGTGCTGTGTTGTTTCCTGAAACCAGATTGATGTGGAGGTAAGATGTTAAATGAGTCCAGGTCATTTTTGATTTGAGAGTTTGCATGATGCCATGATGTAATTCTAGCTGGTCCTCTGTTTGAGACATCAAGTAGGAGGAGTCTAAATTATTATGACAGTAGATTATAAAAAGCTCATGCACAACAGAGCTGGAGTGTTTTCTGGTTCTTGGGGTTTTTTGCTTTTAGGCTTGGACAGTAGATCACCTCCTGCATGTTCTCTTGGGTCATTTTGACCCGGGGATGACGGGAGGGTTCAGAGGACCAGCATTAATCTTAAATACGTTTCTTCTTTTTGTCTTTGATTCTAGGAGCTATTCTGTCAGGTACTGCCCTGGTAGTGTCTCCAGAGGCAGATTGGTGCCAGGTGACGGACCAGACAAAGAGCGGTTCCAAAGACTTGGTGGACAATACAAATCAAGGGACCGCTTTGTTATCCGATTTTTTCATTTTGGTTAAATAAAGAAAAATAAAAAAAAAAAACAAGTGTGTTTTTGTTTTTTCATTTTTTTTGCTTCAAACGAAAAAGCGAACTGCCTGAATGAACAGCAGCCCAAACATGAGTCTGTAGATGGGCATGAATGAACACAGCAGCACAGATCAGTCACAAATCACCCATTAAAGCTTCATTACAGTGATTTTCTTTTTCCTTACAGTGATTATCCTGGTTTGAGATTTATGAGTCTATCGTTGTAGCAATAAATAAATAAATAAAGTCATTTACTTCATTACTATTCTCCTAATCCAGTCAGGAGGGAATATATTCTCAAGGACTTTAAAAAAGAAGACATAAAAAAAGATCAGAATTAGTTTCACGTCATTTCCGGTCCCTCCGAAAGCGAAAGAAGTTGAATTTAAAATCATAAATAGAATTTATCCTAGTAACAAATTTCTAAAGACAAATTTAAAAATAGACGTGGGTAACTGTGTTTTCTGTGAGACAGAGAGTGAGAACCTGGAATTTATTGTTTTTAATAACATGATCGTGTCAAAGGAATATGTACCTTGCTCCATAATTTTCACTGCTCTTTTATGGGTCATGTGAATGATATTAAAATGTTCCATGGTCCTGACCCTATGTAATAATCAGTCATCATGTGTTCGATCAGTAACGGGACAGCAAGAGATATTTTTTATTCTCCTCAGAGTGATTGACATGATCACAGCGATGTCTTTCTTACTGAGTCCTTGAGAGATCCTTCCAGATGTCCTCCTGCTTCTGACACCAGCTAAAGGTTCTGATGAGGCCGGATCAAGGAGTCAGAACTGGTCAGAGCTCTGATAAGTGTGAACTTGTAAATGCATTTCTGTGATCGTTGGCTCTTCTCCAAAGCTTTGTAAATAAATGTGATGAAGTCTACACCTGGTTGTTTTGGGAATCTTTTCCCACAAAAACAGGTTTTGGCTCGACTTTCAGTTGTAGACTTGGTGCAAAGGGTTTCAACTACCTGCGGTATTTAATAAAATACTGGGAATTGTGAATATGGTATCAATAATTTGATATTAGTTAAACATTATGCACATAAATGTTGTTTCTTCGAGCTAAAGTACAAATCCTTAAATTTTGTAATGGAACAAAATGCTGGTAAATTTTATTTTTTTGGCTAATTTCAATTTCTTTAATTAATGGCCTTTTTTCTTTTTGTTTTCTCTCTATTATGTTATGAACCGTCTTTTTCTATTGTTAAAACGTAGTACTTTTTCTGTTTTGTATTGTAAACTGTTAAATAAAGTTTAATAAAGAAAGAAGAAGAAGAAGAAGACGAAGAAGAAGAGTCGCTGGGGGCGTGGTCCAGCCTGAGCTCGACCCAGTTTGAAAGTGAACTAACGGCTCCGGTCGCAGCTTTAGTCCCTAAACAGCAACAAGCAGAAAAACCTGAGATCCAGTCCGAGTCTTCTGTACCTGTCCCGGCCCTCCTGACGAGTGAGTACCTCGGTCCGGTCCCGGGTTTTAGATGCGGGGTTTTCATCCGCTTGGTCCATTCATCCTGACGCGCTTCAGCGATATTAAAAGGCTGGAAAAATAATAAAATGGCCGCTGTAACAATCAGACCGTGGCTGTGTGGAGATGTACCCCTGCGATTCAGATTTATTTTCTGTTTGTACCGTTATTCACGCCGTGTTGTAAACGTAACGCCCATTTATGTTTGAATGATAGGAAATAGCCGGGTCCCCTGTACACAACTGACCTCTTCAAAACATAGTCTGAGCCCTGGTTGGAAATGCGTAGGGACAGTATTTACTCTGCGTTTCCATTGCAGACGGGTCGTGTAGAATAAAGCGGTGCAGCGAATAAATATAAAAATGAATGCTTTTTTTAAGTGATGCGGTGTTTCCTAACGACTCTGCGGGTTAAACCTCAGCATATTCAGCTAACCGAGGGGGATGGGCCGCTCCGGAGAGGGCGGGAAGCAGTAAATGGTGGCTCATTGTTTTGCTGCTTTTAGCACGGCTGGGCTAACTTCTGCTAGCTTCGCCATTGTTCGGCTGCTAGCTCCGCCCCGCTAGCATGCTAGGCTAACTGCTGCTAGCTCCGCCATTGTTCTCTATGTTAGCAATGCTAGGCTAACTGCTGCTAACTCCGCTCAACGGCGGACAGCTACAGGTGTAACAGGGCTCTATTAGACCCGCTGTTACAGCCGGGGAGGATAGTCCGGGCTCAGACGATGTGATCTGGGTCAGTACCGGACAGTGGACGTGTGCATCCCGGGTGTTGGGCCTAGTGGTTCTCCAGCAGTGATGGATGCTGAGGCTGCGGTCTTTGTTCACAGTGAGCCTCAGTGAGAGAAGCGCAGTCGGACCTGTACATGTAACTGATGAATAAATTACAACATTTAGCAGTTAAAACATTACATTTTTTTAAATATAAAGATAAAAAATATATAATTCTGTAAAAAATATGTTCAGATAACGGTGCTGAATTTAGATCCTGATACTTAGTTGCGGATTATTATTACAGATGTTTAGTTTCTGTTCCCTCATTAATATGATCTAATTCAAAAACTGCACTACTTGGAGGGTCCAAACCAAGACTGGGCTGTCCAGGCAAGAAGAAAAAACCAGCCCATACTGGAACAGGATCAGTTTAAACACCTGAAGCAGATCTTTACATGTTTTGTGCTTCCTAAGGTCTGTTTTCATGATGTTCTCTCCATCTCCCTTTAAGAAACTGGTCCAGATGATTTAACCTTCTTTTGTTATCTACCTGGATGATTGAGCCTACCAACCTCTTTCTCTCCATCTTATCTACAAATAAAGGTTTTCACCCACAGCTCATTCCTGCAGAACAGGACATTTCATTAAATTATGCTCTGACTCTTTGGTTCTTTATTGCTTTGTTAGTTAATTTTTGTGGCTTCTCTTTTCTTAGAGTGTCTCACATGTCCTCCGTCTGTCCTCACTCTGCCTTTGGACAGTTTTAGTCCCAAAGTCATGTTGCATTTTCACCAACAGAACAGTTGTTTTAATAATAATAAACTTGATTAATCTGCTGTGGGACAGTTCAGGTTTGAGCAGTCTGTTGTGACTTGACTCCAGCTGACCAGAGACGGTCCAGACATGAAGAACTGAGCGGAATGGCCTTTACCAAGCAGCCTGCTCTTATACCTGCCAGATCAAGAATATTTTCAAATGCTCCTGTACCCTCTCCAGTCAACCTTTATTTGTACAGGTTAGTCTCATTGAGTCATGAGGACTCATTTACAAGAGAGACCTGTTTTAAACAAAAACAATAAATGAGCTACACTAATAAATATTTATAAATGAAGAGTAGAAAAAGACGTGATATAAAATAAAAACACTCCATTATAAAATGGTATAAGATACTAAAAACAGGAACATGTGTCTGCAATGATTTTTGCTGTGAACTTAACAGTAGTTTAAAATCTTGGAGAGGTCAAGGTCGAGCGCTTCAGATCTTTTTGCAAGGTGTTCCAGGAAACGGGAGCGGAGTAAAGAGAAGGCCGTCTTACCAAATTTGTTCTTCACTGATGGGACTGATTCTACCTCCATCTACTGATCCTTGGAGAATAAAATAAGGAAATCAATTGTACAGTATTTTTTCTGATCTCGTTTATCAGATCATGAAGGATGTTTCACCTTTCTGTCTTGACTTTAGAGTTTTATGAGCTCACTCAGTGACGCTCTGCTTGTACTTTTGAGAGCTGCTGTAAAAATCAGGGACAGGTGGCTGGACTCACCTGGTGGAGGTGTGTCCTTTGTTCCACGTGCACGCAGGCTGCAGAACCGGGCCGCTCCAGAACTGCCGACTCCTGTGGATTTGGCACTAACACTGCCACAGCTCCGTCTATCCGGTTCAAAAAGTGGAACACAAGCAGGCAGAGTTTTAAAGTAAGTTTAAAAAAAGGTTGAAAACCTCCATGTTCCAGCCTCGACCGACACTTGGAAGTTTAACCAAAAACAAGCTTCATTTAAGGCTGCTGGATCTGGAAGGTCTTCACAAAACAGGACAGAAATTTACAAATGTCAGAAAACCATTTTTGTGTGCTAATTAAGGAAAATGTCTTTTTCCCCCAACCATAAATATTTTGTTGATTGAAACTAAAGTCCGTCACACATTTAAAGTGTTGATGTGGGGTCATCACAGCTGAGTTCTGCTCCACGCCTCCTTTGGTTCCTCGATGCTCGCGTCTTCTCTGAAAGCTTTTGTGATCTCTTCTGCTGATTTTCAGGCCGTCACTATGATGCGTAAAGACGTCAACAAGCCGAAGGGGAAGACTTCAGCTTATGCCTTCTTTGTCCAGACGTGTCGAGAAGAACACCGCAAGAAGAACCCTGAGCAATCTGTCAACTTCGCAGAGTTCTCCAAGAAATGCTCCGAGAGATGGAAGGTGAGACAGGAGGGGGACAGGGAGACAGGTGACGGGGACACATGAAGCCAGTTGTCTCAGCTCAGTAACTTGCTGTCGTCTTCATGTCAAATGTAGCTACACCCCATGTGCTTGGAGAACGCACACATCAAAGTACTAACGGTTCTGCAAGTTCTGTCCTCGGAGCGGTGCTGTAAGCCCCGCCCCCGTCCCAAAGCTGTGACAGCAGAACCACTGCAGTCCGAGCAGACCTGGTCCTCTACAGAGGTCACTTAACGGGGCTAACAACAGGCTGATCAACAGCTGTCTGTTTTTGTTCCCTTTAGATCATTAAAGTAAAAACCAACCTCACATATAGTTATATTCTCATTATCCTGAGGTTTCCTGTAGCTAAAATATAAAAAGCAGAACAGAGTAACTCTGCCAGACTTAGTTGTAAAGACTTTAGACTTTGTCAGTATAAGCTCAGATAAAGGAGCGGTTCGGCTCCACGTGTTTTTATTTGTGTTTCAGGGACCACCTACAGAAAAACATTAAACTATAGTTTAATGGAGATGCTCTGAACCAAGCGACAGTTTTCTAAATTATTTCCATCTGCAGTCTGTGAAGAACTGTTGAAGTAGATTTTGTAACTTTAAACGACACCGGATGGACTGAACTGATGTAACGTGGATCTAAAGACATGAAACTGGTTCAGTGTTGAAGTTCGTCTCTTCAGCCTAGAGGACAATCACAAAGAAATGACTGAAGATGTCAATTAGATGATGACATCATCTGGGGACTTATGACAGCCAACAGCTGCTGTCCGTACCGAGGAGTCTCACCTTGGGGTGGTTTAGAGTCAATAAAACCTGATGTGGAGGTTTCTGGTCTGGGGGGGGACCCTCGTACTCGGGAAGAACAACTTTGGAGTGTCCCCTGGCCACAGTGAACTGGTCTCGTGCCAGCACGTTTATTAATTTATTACATGCCGTAACCTTCGGGTGGGGGGGTGACGCTGAGGGATGGGACGTCCCCGTCCCCCCAATTTGGGTAACGCTATTGGAGACGCTGCACTTGCCGACAGACACCTGGTAGAAGGTTAGAAGAAACACAAAGAAGGTTTCAGGACTACGTCTGGTTCTGAGACAGGACCTGGTTTCCTCCTTGACTGTCCTCTCTGTCTCTGCTGTCCCCAGGCTCTGTCTCCCAGTGAAAAGAAGCGTTTTGAGGACATGGCCAAGGCTGACAAAGTGCGCTACAACCGAGAGATGAGGGACTACGTCCCACCTAAAGGCTTCGGGAAGAGGGGCCGCAAGAGGAAAGACCCCAACGCCCCCAAGAGACCCCCGTAAGTCTGCAGAACCACAGCAGGACATGATAGTCTGGTACAGGACATGTTTGAGGACAGTGGTGTGATGTAGAGTCTGACCGATATGGACATTTCTGCTCTTGCTTATTGGGGGGTCCTATAACCGATACATCAGCTATATTTGAGCTTTATCCGCCCCCAAGAATCTCAGTAAACGGCTACTTTAAAAAAAGTCTTGAAGTCTGGACACAGTCTTCCTAACGTGCGTTCACATTTTCTGTCCTCCACTATTCATCATAAAGTTATGAAGTGTGTTAGAAAAAATAAACTAAACAAAGAAACTCCTTCCTGTTCATTGTTTAAACTGTCACGTATGGAGGTCTCATTAATATTGACCGCAGCAGAGTTCATTTTCTTTGTAAAGAAGTAAAGATTTCAGACAAACAATGCATTTTGTTGAGGACGATAAAGATAATGTTACTAACTCTGATATATTTTACATCTACGTTACATTTATTGTTCTGGATAAAGTTTTACAAGCCAATAGTCTATGCTAGTTTATCTGAATGTTAGCTTGCTAACTTGAGAGGCACGTAGCTAATGTCAAGCAGGTTGGAGGATTGAAAATAATTTATTGTTGATTTTTTAAATTTTAACAGATCAGTTGAATTAAACTCACCATGCTCTGTTCAACAAAATACACCACACAGTGTTTAGTTGTTTCCTGCTTCAGATGTGCTGGATTTATTGAACAATGACGCCTTTTGAAAGTAAGGACACGACTCGTTCTTAGTGTTTACATTGACACATAAACGGACAAATATCACCGAAAAGATACGTCCCCAAAACGTCCATACCTGCCTAAAATATCAGCCCCTACTGATATATCAGTCAGGCTCTAATGAGATGTGCTCTAGGAGTGACCGATGGCTTCAAGGTGGAGGTGGGAGTGCATCAAGGATCAGCTCTGAGCCCCTTCTTGTTTGCTCTGGTGATGGACCGACTAACAGATGAGGTCAGGCAGGAATCCCCGTGGATGATGATGTTTGCAGATGACATTGTGATCTGTGGTGAGAACAGGGAACAGGTGGAAGAGAACTTGGAGAGGTGGAGGTATGCACTTGAAAGAAGAGGAATGAAAGTCAGCCGTAGTAAGACAGAGTCCATGTGTGAATGAGAGGGAGGAGGTGGAACAGTGAGGCTACAAGGAGCAGAGGTCACAAAGGTGCAGGACTTCAAGGACTTGGGGGTCCACGGTCCAGGAACATGGGGAGTGTGGTAAAGAGGTGAAGAAGAGAGTCCAGGCAGGATGGAGTGATGGAGAAAAGTTTCAGGAGTGATTTGAGACAAAAGGGTGTCAGCAAAGGTCAAAGGAAAAGTTTACAAGACAGTGCTGAGACCAGCTATGTTGTATGGTCTGGAGACAGAGACATGGACAAAAAGACAGGAGACAGAACTGGAAGTGGCAGTAATGAAGATGTTGAGGTTCTTCTTAGGAGAGACAAGGATGGAGAAGATCAGGAATGAGATCATCAGAGGTACAGCACAGGTTGAACAACTGGGAGATAAAGTTAGAGAGGACATGGAGTTGGAGTGAGGACAGAGGACAGAGATAGACGAGGACTCTGTGGAGACCAAAGGTTGTCCATCTACAAAGACATGAGCTCCGTGCCAGCACCAGTGACCTCGTGGAAACACTGGAGACTGTAACAATCATCACGATGAACTAAGTCGCTGCTCTGTGTAACGTATTTCTTGCAGTTTTCTCTGATGATCTGCTGGAGTTATGTTTTCTGGTTCTGACTGTGGTTCTGGTTCTGTGTGCAGGTCAGCGTTCTTTGTGTTCTGCAGCGAGTACCGACCCAGCGTGAAGCAGCAGTTCCCGGGTCTGTCCATAGGAGACTGTGCCAAGAAGCTGGGGGAGATGTGGAGCAAACTGTCCCAGTCCGAGAAGCAACCGTACGAAGAGAAGGCCCAGAAGCTGAGGGAGAAGTACGACCGGGTGAGACCAGAACCAGAACACACTCATCCACCCTGTTGGTCTTAAAGCTGATGGTTCTGTGGTCGTTCAAATTCTGGTTTAAACTGGACCTCTGTCAGAATGGAGGCCGAACGGTCCAGGGTTCTGAAGACAAGAGGTCACATCGTGTTTACAGAAGGAAACATGAAGGTTACATGTTGGTACGTGTGGACCGGTTCTGAAGCTGTTGACCAGTCAGAACCAATTAAATTATCTGTCAGGATTGTTCGGTCCAGTCTGCTTGCTGCCTGCTCAGGTGCAGAACTCATCTGGTTCAGAACCACAGATCAAAGGAGACCTGTCAGACTGTCTTAAATACCGGGGACCTACTAAATACCTACTGGACTGATTGACAGGTTGCCAAAAAAAACTAAATCAGCTGCCGGTGGCCCTGGGTAGAGGCAGTGATGTTCTGTTTTTATGTTGTTAATAAAAAGTTTAAATATAAAAAAAAAAACGGGGAGCGCTGGCCCTGCAGCCCACACATCAGAGCAGCCCACCAGGAAATCTCCAGACCCTCCCGCAGCCACGCTGGACCCGAGTTTAATTCTCTCTTGACCAATTCCTTCATTTCTCACCGTTTCAGTCATGGAGTCAACGGAGGATGAGGAAGATGCTCGACTCTTGGAAAAACCAAAAGAAAAGGTCGGATCAGGGATGAAGACGGTGAATTTAATACATTGGTGTCACAAACAAAACAGTCCGTGTCGAGCAGCTTATTGGGCGACACCGAGTACGCGATCATAAAAATTGATCTTTGCGTGGACGTGCCCTGCGGGCGTCCGCTTCGAGTCCTCCTTGATTTCGCCTCCAGTGCACGTGGATCTCCGCGGAATGAAGTACGCCCGAGTATGTGGCGGCCTTCGTGTACCTTAACCCCCTACGACTACAAACACGTGTACAAACATTTACTACAAACGTGTTTATAATCCGAGGACTAGTGGTAATTTATTGAATTATAAGAACTACAGCAGCAGACCAGCTGGTGTCTCTGTGAGTGCACGTTCAGGTACTGAAAGCAAAGGTTCACGCAGTTTTCCCACTCACAACAAATATGTGAGATTGATCATTTTCCTCAAGAAAATAAACAAGTTTAATGTTTTCGTCTCATTTGTTTAACTGGTTCTCTTGATCCGACACTTTGTGAAAATCTGAAGATGTTTTAGGTCAAACTGATGTAGAAATAAATAAAATGATAAAATAATTCACAAATTTAAAAACACAACTGTAGGTCAAATAACACAAGTACTCAAACAGAACTCCAAGCTTCCCCACAAACACCACGTCTGCGTCCACAGAGTCCTTCATTGGTCCACTCCATGTTCACAAGTTACCTTTAGACTATTTTACTGTAAACCTGCGCACATGCACTCAGTATTTAATAAGAAAAGGTTTTCAGTCTAATGATGGTCGACCCAGTGAATGACCTGAGCATTAACAAACATTCATCTTTTATTATGCGTGTGTTGCACATGTTTATTTATTTTGTGAGCTTTGCATTACAGTAACTTAATAATAGTTTTGCTGTCAGGAAAACTTCTGACTGCCGAGAACATTCATATTACAGACAATATAGACTTGTGGTGGTAACCTGACTCCTGGAGGAGGTCGTGAGACAGCCCCTCGGCGTCCCTCCCCCCACACAGACGTGGACAGGTGAGCTCGGCCAGCTCTTGTCTAATGTGGGACAGGGGGTGGGGCAAAATCTGGGACTGTCTCGTCAAAGTCGGGACGGTTGAAAACACGTTTTTCCTGTCGACCCCTGACATGGATGGATGATGTCATGTCTCACCCCTGGTCTAAATCCATCTCTGTCTCTGTCTCTGTCAGGACATGGTGGCGTACCGCGGCGGAGGAACCTACAACAGGAACCCTGACTCTTCAGCTCAGGGAGGAGAGGAAGAGGAGGATGAAGAGGGGGAGGACGAAGACGAGGAGGAGGAGGATGACGAGTAGACAGACTGTGTGTTAGAGGCAGGTGTGTGTTTCAGAGGTCCGACAGGAGAGTGGGCGGAGCTTCGCAGAACATCTTCCCGTTCAGAGACTCGAAGTTTCAGATATGTAGGGTCTGAGGAGAAGGAGGAGGCAGGCAGGTGAGGATTAGATTGTTTCCATGGTAACAGTTGTGATGTGATATGACATCAGCTGAGTTTCTGTAGGTTTCATGGAGCAGAGCGACATCATGGCTTGTTCTGCTCTTAGAATAGGCCCCGCCCCCTTTTGGAGGAAATTGCTGGTGATGAACTTGTTCTGACAAAGTGTCGAACCTTAAAGGTTCTGTGCAGCATTTTGTCCAGCAGATGGAACTCCCAGGTTGTTTCTGTAAACAGGGAGGGACAGTAGAAGGAGAGATCATTGTCTTCTGTTCAGTTGCAGAGGATTTAAACGGTAACGACGGCAGCTGTCTTGATTCTGTGTTTTTAAATTGATCTAAAATCATTTCTGTGAACGTCTTCAACTCTCTCCACTAAAGTAAAAATGTTTGATCATTTTAAAACGCTAATCATTAACTTTTTGACAGAGAAAAAGATTTAAACCATAAAGGATGACTGTTATGTGTAAAAATAATATTTACATTTTTTAGTAACACAACCATCTTATCTGTCTGCACAGACACATCAGGGCACTGGGTGGCGCTGTTCATCCAGTCCGTCCAAATTCAGGAGATTTTCAGTATAACCATAATAAAAGATAATAAACATAATTATAATAAAATACCATAATATTTAGATTTTTTTTAACCTTCCACTCAGTTTTGTGCATTTATTTCATTCAACAAACTCCTCATGAGTTTTTATTTATCACTTGTCAAAATAGTGGATTGTTTTCTTTTTAAAAAAAAGTGTGGAGCTTTCAACGGTTTCTTTACCACAATCCCCCAAAATTTGAAAAACAGGTGAACTTCTATTCTGTAGTTAAAGAAATTTCTCTTCCTGGTCTTCGTTTCCCTCCTCTCTCTCCTGATGGGAATCAGGGTCTTTGTCTTCTTCCTGAGGGTCATCAGGGACTTTGTCTCCCTCCTGAGGGTCATCACGGTCTTTGTCTCCCTCCTGAGGGTCATTAGGGCCTTTGTCTGCTTCGTGAGGGTCATCAGGGTCTTTGTCCCTTCCTGAGGGTCATCAGGGTCGTTGTTTCCCTCCTGAGGGTCATCAGGGTCTTTGTCTCCTTCCTGAGGTCATCAGTGACTTTGTCTCCCTCCTGAGGGTCATCAGGGTCTTTGGCTCCCTCCTGAGGGTCATCAGGGTCTTTGTCTCCCTCCTGAGGGTCATCAGGGTCTTTGGCTCCTTCCTGA